GTTTAGGGTTTAGGGGTTAGGGCCATGTAATTTAGTATAAATAACCGAATATGATGTAAGTTTTATATAATGTAGTCTGATCTCGTGTAAGCTTTGTCCAATGTAATCTATCTACTATAATGTAATGTCATAATAGCAGAATGTAGTAGGAAAAATGTATTGTACAACATCCCGACGGGATAATCCGGAACGGGCTTGAGAAGGGCTCCAGGAATCGAAACCCACTAAGCCTATGCGTCTCTGCGTCTCCGGACGAGGGCCTAAGTTGCAACCGGATCCCTGCAGCCCTGGTGCCTCGCAAGGTGTCAAGTCCATCTTGCAGCTCTCACCGTCACTCACGGCGAGCCTTGGCACAGAGTGCTCGGATTGTGCTGTTCGATGCTCCGCGACCTGTTCTTACACTAGGCGCAAGGTCACCCCGGTCTGCTTCCAGGAAACGGCATGCAGGGCAGCTTTCGCCTGCAGCCATCAAAAAGTACCTTCGCAGCTTGCAGAGCAGATTCACACGTACCTTGCTGAGCTGTAGACTGCGCAGATGACGAGTCTGTGGACTGCTGCTCTTGCAGCTTTCTGCGGAGTATCGGGGCAAGCCCTTCGGACCTATTTCTCCTATGGACTGATTTGGATGTAAGCCCAGCCATGCCCAGCCCGTCCCATCGTCGCCTGGGAAGAGCAGTTCGAAAAATGCAGGCAGGTTCGGTTGACTTCGCCAACCCAGCCATCATCACATCGCCATTGCGACTCACTGCCTCAAGAACACAAAACGTCCTGCAACTCTTTGGCACTAGAAAGCTGTCGGGGTTGAAGATCTTAGCTTGGGCAAGAGTCTCCCAGGCAGATCTTCTCGCCGATAGCCCTCCGGCAAGGTCGGCGGGTCTGGACACGCCATAATACACCGTGGCAGCTCGTTGAAAAGAAGCTCTTGGAAGGGGTTCACATTCAATCCAGGGCATCCTGAGAGATCCGAGCCCTGTCCGGTTGAACCATAACAGATTCCGAAAGGCGACTGCAGCACAGGCTTCAGACGACCAAACTTCGAAGCTGCTGCCCAGCATCGAGCAAAACGTGGGATGCCGCCGTCAATAAAGGGCGGAAGGCAGTTCAACTGACATCGCTCGCCAGGAAGCACACCTGTGTGATCTCCCCGCAACTGCATGACTGGCAATGTGAACCGGCGATGTCCATGCTCCACTATGGTGCAGATAAGCCCGCTTCTGCAAGATGATGGCGGCTTGCCCCAATATGCATGCAGAAACTGTGTATAAGCATGCACACCTGTACAGACGTGTGTATATTGTACATGTACATGTACATACGGAGTTACATATACATGTACATACCTACATATATATATATATATGTATACACATATATTTTTGTATATACACATCTGCACATAGTGTACAAATACATGATCTCTGAGTTTGAACATCAGGAGAATTGCAAATAGGCGAACCCGTGTCGAGACGAATAAGCTCCGATGGCATGACATGATGCTGGATAGCAAGATTCACTGACCTGAGACCACACACATGTATACATATGTAATCTGCAAGCTGCAGCGTCGCATCCAATACGCATCCGAGGATGAAGAAGGAATGAAGGGAATTTCGGATGTCCCATTCAAGTCTTCCTAGGCTTTGATGTTCTAAACGGTAATAGCACAATAGCTGCGTGCTACGACGTGACAATCAGATAGCACTCGCAAATGCTTTATGAACATCTTACCTAGTGGCTTATGAAAACCTTACAGTGAAAGACAGAATGCAACCGTCCGTTCTTCGGTGTTTTCCCTTGTTCAAACAGGTGCATGCTGCAGATACTTCAACAACTTGCACACAAATTCTGTCGAGGTGAGGGAAAACGCAGGTGCGCAGTGTTCGTTTCTCTCTCCTCTCTCTCTCACAACCTATGCACACAGATATGTATACATACATGCATACATACGTACATACATACCTACATACATACATACGACATATGATATGCGTATCTATGCAAGCGTACATACGGTAAGCCCCATGACAAATAAACGGGTCTATGTCCAGGCGAGTACATGCATGCATGCATGCATGCATGCACTAATGTGTGGACGAATGTACGTGAGTACTGAGGCATGTCTATGTCTCTGTATTTGGTATGAACTTACACACGCGCGCGCGTGTATGTCTGTCTGCGTTTATATGTATCTACCTGCATGTTTGTCCGCGCATGCGTATCAGTATGTTCGTATACACACACACACATATATATATATATATACACATACATACATATACATATACATATATCTGCATACATGTACATGTACATGTGTCCATGCATATATGCGCATCCATGCATATATGCGCATGTGTATACGAACCTGCACATGTACAGGGGTATAGGCATGCGCATGTGTATGTATATGTGAATGTGTACGTATGTGCATATGTCCATGTCTATGTCCACATATACATCCATGTTTATGTCTATGCCTACGTCCACGTGCATGTGTATGTATGAGTATGTATATGTATGTGTATATATATATATACAATATATATATATATATATATGTATATGGAAGTGAATATATATATATATATATATGTATACATATGCATGTGTGTAGTATGTCTAAAGGTATGCGTGCAAGCATGCGTAAAGGCATGCATGAATGTGCCTATGCACATTATGTGTACATGTATGTATGTACGTATGCAGGAACTTGTATGTATGTATGTATGTATGTATGTATGTATGTATGTATGTATGTATGTCGGTATGTACGCGTGTTTTTGTGCGTACGCAAAGTAAACCTACCTATGCACGTATGAATGCATGTATGTGTTTATGATGGTGGGTCGGTGTGTGAGTATGTGAGTGTGTGCGTGTACATATGTAAATGTATACGTATATGTATCCAACTGTGCATGTGTATATGAGTGTGTGTATATAGCATATGCATGTACAAAGGCATGTGCATATGTACATATACAAGTACATGTACATTACATGTCTGGAGGTTTTTTGTTCGTATGTGTCCGCATACTTAAGACTTACGTACGAACATGTGAAGTGTGTCCATAAAGAGTTTGGGAAAAATATGCTCAACCATTGTCATCTGCATATGCGCCTCTGCACTCGGTGAGGTTGTAGATGCAAGGATCTGGGGCCAAGTCCTCCACAGGTGGATTTCTGTGAACTAGTATTCCCGGTTCATTGTCAGCCCATCCACACATTTTAACCCAGGACCTACAAGGCTGACTGCTAGTAAAGAAGAAGGACATGGGATCCATGCTTCTGCAAGGGGTTTCGTAGGATGCTGTTTATCCAGGTACGTGTCATTCCTCTGTCGAAGTGTGCGACAATCCCAGAATCCTTCAACATCCGCATAACTGTTGCCCAGAAGCCTTGCATCATCGTGCATTCGATTCAAACAATCTGCTTCCACCCATAGCGAACCCCCGATGCACCGAAGCCTGCAAATAGTTCATGTCGGCCGACTAGGGAACCAAACACAGCTCCTACCAAGACACCAAGATCATGTTAGCATGAGTCCAGCCACTCCATCTCATGATAATAATCCCTTTGCACTGACAACGTCACGCCGAATGAACTTGCATCAACAACAGATACCTGAATCAAGACTCTCATCGTTCTGAAACCTTCCCCACTCCAATAACCGTCCCCAAATCGTTTGAAGCTTTACCGCTTTACCCACACCCTCACGAATATTACTGGTCCGGCGAGTCTTTGCGGCCGAATCTGCAAGAGACTTCGGCCCAAACTTGACTGCACCAACATTCCTAATGCCGAACCTCGCAGAAAGACGAAACTGGCTTTGCCTGCCGCAGCTCGAGGTCTGCGCATGGCATTAGCGGATAGCACCTCGGACAGCAAGCTGTCATGCTTCTACCGTTACTGATACTGTTGTAGGCGAACAAGAAGTAGTTGAAGAGAACGAGAGTCTAAAAGCCAGCCACGAACCGAACGGATCAAATCTAAAGCCGTGCGAGGCGGGCGGTGCCGAGGACTGACATAAAAGCTGCCCGTTTTATTTCCAATGTGCGGCAGTGCGCATATCACCAATGCTGAAATTTGATGGACTTGGTGAACCTGTCAACTCCGAACCTTGGACTTTAAACTTCTTCGAAAAGACTGTCCCCCAGCCGGATCTTAGTCGAAGTCGAAATCGAGACAGTGACGAAAAACTTCAACGAAACAGAAGTATGAAAATACGGGTCACGACTGCAAATATGACAGAGCGTTGTTGCTGGCCATGACGACGAGGATACGGATGACGATGACGAAGATGATGAAAATGAAGAAGATGAAGAGGTGGAGGTGGAGGAGGAGGAGGAGGATCAGGACTGTGATGATGATGATGATGATGGTGATGGTGATGGTGATGGTGATGGTGATGGTGGTAATAGTGCTGCTGGTGGTGATGAGGATCAAACGTATTCAATGATGATGGCTCCTTGACATGATTAGGACGATCACGACCAATGGGAAATCGTCGTCGCCGTCGACACCGTCGCCGTCGTTACACTGTCATCGTCGCTGCCACCATCGCTGCCGTCGTCGTCACCGTTACCGTCACCGTCACCGTCGCCGTCGTTGTCGTCGTCGTCGTCAGTGTTGACTTGTCGGTTGCCTCTGCTTAGCAACAAGGACCTTCCTCTGCGGTGAGAGAACGCTTTCCTCCCCCCTTCGCCCTTCGCCACTCGCCATCAAGCGACCCCTGCAGTTCGACACGCCGCTGGCAGAAGGGAGCTCCATCGAAGACACAGATCAGCTCTGCGGTGCCGGCGTAGCCTGACAAGGACAGCAAACGCTTCGTGGCACCCTCAACACTCCCTACGAGATGCTCGTGTGCGCCCGAACAGCCAGGCAGCCTGGAGCGCATTCCCAGACGTCAGAAGTGTTCACATAGCCGTACGGCAGTGGATCCGGAGGAGGACAAGGCAGGTCGCACTGAACTTCTCCGATGTCAGGCTCACCTCAATCTCTTGCAGCTCATTAATCTCCAAGCTCGTCAGAACCGAAGCAAGGAATATAAAAGCCCAAGAACGAGCTGATGATCATGGTTCGAACCTTCCCCAAAACGGGCGTTGTTAGCCTTTTTTCGGGGGACGACCCGGCTGCGTGTTGTCCGCGGGGCACCGGAGCTCATGGCCCATACCCACATAGGGTCCCACGCAGGGCGCGCGGCAGACTTCGCCCGGAGCCATCTCGAGGCCTTCAGAGAATCAGAGCTGGGACCACCACTGAGGAAGCATCATGATCACTGAATCAATAGTGAGAGTATAATGGGATCAACAAAATCCCAACAAAGATGGGCCGCAGGCCAAAATCAGTTACACTGGAACTGATTTATCTCCAAGTCGCAGTCTTGATAATCCTTGGAGGCTAGCAGACATTGACATGCCGTGCGGCTGACACGAATCTTTAGCACCGCGTCTTCCAAGTTCGCTACTGGGATGATGTGGGGGGTGTGGATCTCACGCATATTGCGGGTCTTGGGCGTTGGCGCACAGCCATGGACTGAGGGGCCATGATCCGACACAACTGTCTGGTGCTTAATAGGGAATGGGGGAATGGGCTATAGGGACTACTATAAGGGGCCTTAAGGGACTATCATAGGGATCCATTCCCCCATTCCCTACTGAGCACCAGACAGACAAACAGCCAAGATTGCCAAGAAGCCAAGCGCTGGCAGTCTTGCTCCTGTCAGATTGCCGAAGCTAGATGCGCCGCTCTTGATTCATAATTGCCGTGCTGGGCTGATCAGACACATTAATCGTGGCCACAGTCTGATTCTGGGTAGATTCTAAGATTCTTTCACGCTGTATTGCAACTTCAAGTCCAGCTTCATGTTAGCCACATCAGTTGTCCCACCTCCGTGAAGCGGCACCCCACAATAAGATCGCACCCAACGAGATCTGCTGGACGAATGGCGCAGTCGTCCTGTTGCTCTCTCAAGAACCATGCGTGCTACCGTCGAACGCTGCCACCGTCTTGCTACATGCTCCACTCACCTGCCACCCTGCTCACTCCTGCGGATCTGTGTTGCAGCGCCGCACTGGACGACCTGCACACGGTGCTGTTTGTGAACACATTCCTGATTCCGTGCACCTGCCCTATCGCAACCCAACAAGGATGCTTGACGAATTCTGCTTTCGTATTGCAGCCAAGTTCGACTTCCAGAATGAAATCCTGGAAGATTGCCACCTATGCTTCGAACATGCGGCCTTTGTAGCCGTCGGCACAGTGCACTTCTCCTTGCTAGCAGGGTCGACAGAGACAGAATACCTTCAGTAGGCCTAAGATGACGTACGTTGGAATGGAAAGCACGAACTACAAGCTCTCGTGTTTGTCCTTGTGCGTCTCGCACATAGCCTTGTGGAAGCTCAGTTGGGTAAGGGCAGTCGCTGAAGCTGCACCAGGGTGCCGTCCACTCCTTGGAGTGGGCGATCGACGATGCTTGAGTCATAAAAACAAAGCAGGACAGGATGGGTGAAGGCCAAGCGGCCAAAACAGCCCTAACCAAAACCTTAGTGACCTGGAGTAGGAAGCGCCGGAATGCTTCTCGCAATACGGACATGGACACTTTTGACTTCCACCTAGCCACGCAGAGTGCCCAAACTCGCGTCTGGGCACAGGAATGCTTTAGCATAGAACTCAACTTAGCTTAGGAAACAGCATGTGTGGGTGCGATCTTCCATCATGACCTGTGTCTAGATGTGCAAAGCACTGTCTCCAAAGCCGAACACCTCAGGCGCTGGCCAGCGGTAGCCCTTCTTGTAGGTTATTCGAAGCACAGCGTGCTATTGTGCTGTTGCCCAGATACGGTGCCTGGCGAAAAAGACGAAAGCTCACACTGAATTGCTTTGCTCTCCACCGTCTCTGACAAGATTTGCCTTGCAGTGAATTTCGCAGATGGATCCAGAAGGAAGGAAGCCACATCCTGCTTCTGCAGAAAATGTCGTGGCTCAAGACCATAAGAATCTTAAGAAGAACAAGCCCTGATTCGAACATAACAAGCACAACGTTTGAAGTAGAACAGGCGTGGCACAACACTGAACAAGTACAACTATTGGACCTAAGAGTAGTGAAAGCAATACATGCGCCCAGCATCCTGAGAAGTCGTACATACAGGTGTCGATCCCCTCGGGCACCACGCAGGGCAGGCAGAGGGGCACCACGTTGGATGCATTCCAGTCCCGGCTGCATTGCAGTTGCCGGTTGAAGCCGTCGCTGGGGACCAGCAGTGAAGCTACGACCTGCGTCCAGGGCGAGGCAGGGGCGTAAATGATGCCGGCAACAAAATCCTTCAATGATCAGTCCGTGCGCCTCCAATAAAAGCCATCCTCGTCCAGGCATTGACACCAAGGTCACATCGCCTTGGCTCGATGCACGCAAAAACGAGCACATCTCTGCATTTGCAGACGCCCGATCAAACCCTTTGCCGAGTGAGCTGACTAATATGAATACTCCGACATGAACATCATGCACACACGGCACGGGGCTGATTTAGACAGTTTATCTCAAGCAACTGGGGCCCACACGTAACACCGCGCGCCCAGGCACAAGCACAGCATGCAGTGTGGGCACGTAAACCGAAGAAAAATTCTCACGGTTGACGACGTTCAATCCTCTATATCTGAAATCTTCGGTTGACGCCTGCTGCAGCGCCAGCTCTTGTACAGTAGCGACGACTGTGTTCCGAAACTGTTGGCGATCTGCATGATACATGTGCATGTCCGCTAACAGAAGCCTTCGATGGCAAAGACATCGCAAGTTGACCAACTGTCCTAACCAATAAGCGGACGAATACAAAAAAATATGTCGCTCGGGAACGATGCAAATGCTCAAGTCACACTGTCCTTGGGCATGGTGACCCTCTGCACATGACATGTTCTTCTTGCTCCACGCATTTTGGGTTTCCT